AATCTCGAGAAGTCATACTTAAGCTAGGAGCAGTGGTGATTCAAAGCACAGTAACCAAACATTTAAGTAATTACTGGTTTATTAGTGCTACAGATATTCAGATAATCATATTTATTCATGATTTATTTTCTTATATAAATCTGTTAAATCAATGAGGCTTGAAATATAAGTTTACAAATGCCAATTTGTACTGCACTAGGCAAATCAGTTTCATTTTCAACAGGAAAGATACTCAAAAGAGAAAGGAAGTTCTCAAAGAGTCTCAAACCTCTCATTTATTTCCATATATAATTCCATTGACTCTGGTCAAATGGACCTAGAGTCCTGCCTTCAGTTATAGTGAGGGGTGCTTCTTAAGTGCAAGTTGTTGGTGGTGGTGGTAGTCACTATTTAATAAGCAAGCTGCCCAAGTCCTAGCGGTAGTGCAGTCAGAGAGATGAGAATAATCCCCAGTGTTAGAGTGAGTGAGCTATGAGCAACAGTTAGAAAACCCTCTTCATCTGCACCAATCTTATGATCTAAACTGGAGCAGTGGCAATTAAACGCGCAGTAACAACCAAATGTTTTAACCCATTGTTGGGTTATTAAAGCTACAGATATTCAGATAAAGACATTTATTCATGGTGTATTTACAAGTATAAATAGCAATTCCATTCTGTGAAAATCTTTAGACTAATCTTAAGCAGCAATGAACTGAATGTGAATTTTGCTGGAGACTGGTTCTTCAAATCATCTTGAGAAGGTTGATTTGCATAGTATAAAGTATAAATTCATGCAATAAATTTGGACATTGTTCAGAAACAGTCCCTGAAAAAATGAGCCTGTTGATTGCACACGCAATTCTTTAATGCCATTTAAAGAAATATTAGTTATTGAAACTGATTAGTGTCACATTAAATAATTCTCTTTGGCCCTGGTCATTGTGATTAGGAGTGAGAAATCTATAAAAAGCTCTTTAAAATCATTTTGAATGAATGGATATCTCTTGAATTTTATAATGTTGTTGAAATGATAAAAAAAAGTTTCACAAGATTTTACTGTGGACAAACATAGCAGTGAATCAGCTTCACAAATTGTTAACCAGGACACTTTGAGAGGTTCCTTTTTCTTTTGAGTATCTTTACTGTTGAAAGTGAAACTGATTTGCCCAGTGCAGTACAAATTGGTAAACTTATTTGTATTTGCATTTGTAAACTTATATTTCAGGCCTCATTGATTTAACAGAACCATTTGTGTTGGATTGTATTTAAGCTGTTTAAAGCTGTTACCAACCTTCCAATATTCCTTCAACTTGGACAATGTGGAGGATCACCATTAAAAATAGATACGAAAGCTGTGAACTTGAAGTTGTTAATTAATGCAGAACCTAAAAAAAATCTCTGCAACTCCTGAAACTTAAACTTTGACTAATTGTATGAATGATTTCTTCTGTTTTGAGGGTCAAATCTGGCTGGTTTAAATAATTAAACCTGGCTTGTCAAGTGTGACAAGCTGGCACCTCAATAATTAAACTGAAGTATGTGTGGCATCCTAATGAATATCTAACTGGCTAAACTATGCTTCTTGATGCAAACTTGACTGACCTAGACTATTGTTTGCATTCCGTATGTATTGAAGTCACCTGTATTTGTATTTGTGGAGTCCTGTAGCTCAGTGGTTAGAGCACTCGCCTCGCAAGTGAGAGACCCGAGTTTGATTCCCAGCAGGGCGAAACCTTGGGCAAATTTCCTTACTCCACACCCCTGATAATAATCCTTCAAGAAAATAAATAATAAATTGGTCACTTCAATCCATGACTGTTTGTGGAACATTGCTGTGCGCAATTGGCTGCCGTGTTTCACCCACAAATATACGGCCAATTCACTTTACAGTATATTCTGTGGAGTCCTGTAGCTCAGTGGTTAGAGCACTCGCTTTGCAAGCGAGAGACCTGAGTTCAATTCCAGGCAGGGCGAAACCTTGGGCAAGTTTCCTTACTCCACACGCCTAATAATAATCCCTCCAAAACCCCAAAACAATAATAAATTGGTCATTTTCAATCTACGACTGTTTGTGGGACATTGCTGTGCGCAATTGGCTGCCGCGTTCGCCCACAAATATACAGTCAATTCACTTTACAGTGTGTTCTGTGAAGCGCTTTGGGACGTCCTCCCGACGTGAAAAGCGCTATATCAAATGCAAGGATTATTATTATTATTATTATTATAGAGTCATGGAACCTGGTGTGGGAGAGGACACGGCTGCAGAGTTCTGGATGATCTGCAGCCTTTGATGGGAGGAGTTGGGGAGGCCGACAAGCAAGGAGTTTTCATAGTCGAGCCTTGATGTAATGAATGCGTGTATGAAGGTTGCGGTTCCTACTCACAACTACAAATGTTTACAATTATTCAGATCACATAACTTTCTGTGAAGCTGTAGGTCTGCATGGCATGGATGTGGATTAGAAAGGATAGTTGAGGGTCAAACAGGATACCAAGGTTCCAGACTGGCTCAGTGAGCTGGAGTGTACATCCTTAGATGGTGATGTTGTCAGTGCCTGAGGTGCGGAAGCGCTGACGGGAGCCAATCAGGAGAGCCTCGTTCTTGTTGACGTTCAACCGAAAAAAGTTAGCTCTCATCCAGGACTTGATGTCTGACAGGTAACGTAAAGTGCACATCGTGGCTTCAAGTGGCTGCTAGCATATGTAGTTTAAGTGTGATTAATGTTTGTTATCTTGTGTTTGTTAATATTGATCATGTTGTTTAAGATTTAAGGCAGAGGGTTGTGGATTTCATTGAACCTTCAATAAAATTTGTTGTGCTTACTTAACCGTGCTTTCTCGAGCTTTCTGTATAAATCAAAGAAGGAGGGAATACACAAACGGGTTCAGCCTAGGTCACAGAGGTGTAAAATAAACCTCTGATTGACTGAAGCTTCCCAATTTGTTTTAATTTAAATAGCAATTGGTAGTTCCTGTTGACGTGGAATAATTCATTAGTCAAGTTACACCTAGTTATAGGGACTTGCATTCATCTGTGATGATTGAACACAAGGCCACCCAGTACACTCTGCGATGAGGAGCGAGCCATATCGTGGGTGTACACATAGGGGTGTAGAACAATCTCAAAGTTAAGGGACTTCATTTAATTTACTATGAAATTAGTAGTAATTTTCATCCCTTTACACAATCCAAATAGGAAAACATCAAGTAACATTTCCGCCCTTGACGTAGAACAACATCTTGGGGTGCTTTACAGTGGCAGAATTAGATCCAAGAGAAGTGTAATTACATACTGTTGCATTGCATTTTGTGGGAAAAAATAAATAGCAAAACCAGATTGGTTTAATAAATTTCCCTTTTATACAGCCTGATTTTTCTGCTTATCTGCAATGGAGTGTCTGTTGGAATGTATTTCGGTACATTTTAATATTTGTTGCGGGTGCAGCTGTGGTCAAAGATGCAATGTGGCCGGACATTAAAAATACATTTGAAGCCCAAAGTCAACCAAATACTAGTCCACAAATAGCCCGATATTATGCGTTGCCTCCTGTGGGGTAACAGAATGGCCAATTTAGGTTGGTGCTTTTGAAACTGTAAGAAACAACAAAGTGCATTTTCACCAACAAAATACACAGTCAATTCACTTACAATATATTCTGTGAAGCGCTTTGAGACGTCTCAACAATGTGATAAGGCGCTATATCAAATACATTAGAATATACAGCAAAAAAACGGGCCATTCGGCCCAACTGGTCCATGCTGGTGTTTATGCTCCACATGAGCCTCTTCCTGCCTTTCCTCAACTGAGCCTTCAAGCATACCCTTCTATTCTTTTCCCCCTCAATTAACTGTCTAGCTTTCCCTTAAATACATCTATGCTGTTTGCCTCAACAACTCCCACTACTCTGTGTGAAGAAATGTCTTCACTTTGATCCTTCTATTTGATCTATTTGTGACTATTTTGTATCGATGGCCCCTGATTTTGGTCTTTCCCCACAAACCTTTCATCATTTTAAAGATCTCTATTAGGTCAACCTTTACCCTCGTCTTTTCAAGAGAAAAGAGTCCAAGCATGTTCAGCCTTTCCTGATAGGTGTAACCTCTCCGTTCTGGGATTATCCTCTATGGCCCTTCTAAACTGTGGGGACCAGAACTGCGCACAGTATTCTAAGTGTGGTCTAACCAAAGTTCTATAGAAATTTACCAAAAACTTCCCTGCTTTTCATTTCTATCCTCTAGACATGAACCCCAGTGCCTGGTTTGCCTTTTTTTATGGCCTTATTAACCTGCGTTGCTACTTTTAGTGAATTGTGTAGATCCCTTTGCCCCTCTACCCCATTTAGGTTTTAATTTTCCAGTTCGTACGTGACTTCCTCATTACTTCTACCAAAGTGTACCACCTCACACTTTTCTACGTTGAAATGCATTTGCCATTTAAATGCCCACTCAGCAAGTTTATTAATGTCTAATTTGCTGCAGTCCTCCTCTGTACGAACTACTCTCCCCCCATTGCAAGGATTATTATTGTTTGCATAGCAACTCTCATGCCGGGACGATGTCCCGAGGTGCTGGACCACGAAGGAGAGCTCTTCAAAGGACATTTCCCCTATATTTTTTTTTGCAGAGCGAACACAATTAAAAATCAGACACCCGCCCGAAGCTGTTTTTTTTCCTCTCTCGCGAACAGAAACGAAACCCGCCCGATTGGGCGTGAACCCGCCCAACCCGCCCACACCGACGGCTGTCTGTTGGGCGTGCGGGCGGTCGGGCGGGCGCTCCTATTGTTATTGGCACAGACAGGGGCCGAGTTTGGTGCATGCGCCGTGGGGAGGTGCGCTCGCTCGGGCCGGACTGAGAGCGGCGGAGGAGGAGGAGGAGGAAGGAGTCGTTAATAGTTGTGGCTGTTTTTTTTTTCGGGAAGGCCCCTCCGCGCTCTCCCCCCCCTCCCCCCCCCCTCACACACACACATTATATACAGTTATATATATTATTATTATTGTTGTTGTTATTTTTATTGAAAGGCCTTTTTCTCCGGAGCTAAATCACTGTGGGTGGGGGGAGGGAGGAGGAGGGGGAAGATACACAGGACAGACAGACAGACCGACCGACCGACCGACCGACACGGCGGCTCCGCTCAGGGTCGCGGAGGCGGCGACGGTGGCGCCCGAGATGTCGTTCTTCGTGGACAGTTTCTGGGTAAGTCCTGAGAGCGAGCGGTCAGTCTGTGTGTGTGTGTGTGTGTGTGTGTTGAGTGTATGTCGTGTCCTTTCCCGGTCCCTTGTGTGAGGGGGGATTCGAGCTGACGGGCGCCCTGTGGGTTCGGCAGTTGATGACCGGAGTCTGGGGGGAGAGGGAGGCTGTGTGTGTGTGTGTGTGTGGGGGGGGGGGGAGATTACGCGAGTCCCCGGATCAGGCCCTGGCGTCCACGCCAGGCCACCGTGCAACCGAACTTGTACGAAGCAAGGACACGAAGGGGAGGGGGGGGGGGGGGAGAATGCGGGAGGCGCCCCGCCCCCCTCCGCTTCCATTGGTCGCGCCGCGCTCCGCGTGGGCCGTTTATCGGGAATCCCCCTTTCTGATTGGCCGCTCGGCCCGTCCATCCGCGCTTCCCATTCTTCCGTAAACAAGTTAGTGTGACGGGGCCGCGGGTGAAGGGTTTCCAGGAGAGTTCTCTCTGCAATAAACAACCCCGAGAGGGGCGGCTTCAGCTCTGCTCAGCGCGGACCCTGATTTACATTGGGGAAGGAATTGAGATGGGTGGGGTTTTTTTTTCTTCTAAACCCCCGGCGGCCTCGGATTACAAAAGAAAACCATCCATTCTCTCCGAATTCTCGCATTTTGCAAAAAAAATTAAAAAAAAAAAAAAAAATTGTGTGCACAGCAAAGGATGGAAGTTTGAGGAAGTCGAAGCAGACGGAGGTACTGGTGTTGTCAGCAAAACAAAATTGGGTGTTTCCCATTTTCGGTGCAGTTGCTTCAGAAAAATGAGGTGGTTCCAAGAAAGGCTGCTGTACAATTGACTACATGTCTACAGACCAGATGTACAATTGACCACATGTCTACAGACCAGATGTGCGGTCCAATCTGATGGACATTGTGTGACTAGACTGATGTGATGATGTCAGTCTCACTTGCCCACCTGTTGCTTCAGTTACTCGGCTATTAGGAAGTTGAAGGTAGCGATGCTTGTATTGTGTCATGGCAAGTCATATCTGGGATGTATTGACATTGAAACCCTCATACAACCCTTGATTTTGTTGTGCAGGAAGGTATAAGGTTAACAATGTCAACTTATCCTTCTTTGTGAGAACCATGGTGGTGGGAAATATCATGGCTTTCCGCAAGCGTCAGACACTCAGCTGATCAAAACATTACACGAGTACACACAATTCTTTTGATATATATCAAAATATATATGGAGTCCCGTAGCTCAGTGGTTAGAGCACTCGCTTTGCAAGCGAGAGACCTGAGTTCAATTCCAGGCAGGTCAGGGCGAAACCTTGGGCAAGTTTCCTTACTCCACACAGAGCCTAATAATAATCCCTCCAAAAACCAAAAACAATAATAAATTGGTCATTTTCAATCCACGACTGTTTGTGGGACATTGCTGTGCGCAATTGGCTGCCGCGTTCGCCCACAAATATACAGTCAATTCACTTTACAGTATGTTCTGTGAAGCGCTTTGGGACGTCCTCCCGACGTGAAAAGCGCTATATCAAATGCAAGGATTATTATAGGATTATAATTATATATAAAGAAAACACTTTTTGGGAGCTAACTTGGTTTTAAGACAGTGTTAGGAGGGAACACAGTTCTAAGCTCCAACTCAATTTTGATAGACAATTGTTATGCGAATAAACTGCTAGATTTGCTTTATGTTTCAAAGCAATGATAACGTTTCAGTGGTAAAGTTTTGTGACGTATCCTAAGTAATCAATTTATGTAGTCAGTTAGTCTAAGCCAATGTTTACTTTATATATATAATATATCAAAACACATTTTATTTATTAGTTTAATTTTTTTTGGTCAACTAAGTGTCTGACATATGCAGAAACCCATTACTGTGACTGTAATGGAATGCATACTCTCTCCTTGGAAGGACGCACCCTGCTTATCTAATTTTCGGGTGTATTGGGTGCAAGTTGGCATGAGACAAGGCTTGGGCACCCTAAAGTGTGCATTAGGGTACTGCTGCAGTCAAACCATCTAAAACCGTACAGCTTGCCTTTGAAAGCACTGACTGGCAAACTTCCCAGTGCTTGTCTAGCCAGGTCCACCCCAACCATTACGGCTTTGACTAGGAGCTGAGTGAGAATAATTCCTATCTCCAGTGTATTAGTTTAAAGGAGCTGTCCAAACAAATTACCTACTGTTGGAAGTAGAATAGCTTAAATACAGGTTTTGCTGCTGTACTACAGGTCTATATGTAAGTAAGTGTATATTAAAAATATGCCATACCAATCATTCTTTGAGGGCTAATTTAGTTTTGAAGCATTGTTGGGAGGGAGCACAGTCCTAATCTTCAAATATTTTTTCCTGGTGTAGTTTATACAAGGATGGGTGTCACAAGCTCAGTTCCGCACTTGTCGCCTGCTGGTGGGATCTAACCTTAACTTTTTTTAAATTTAAAAGAACTGCCCATCTCTACCATGAATGTTGAAGACATCAAGTGGAAAGAGTTAACGCAAGGTTTAATGTTTGCTTAAAAGCATTTAGGTCTGTTTATGCAAAACTACCCAGGACAGTTAATGTTTTTTTTAATTCAGTATTTGATTATCTTAATCCTATGTAATATAATATAGGATTAAGCGCCCCGGGACGCTACCCTACATGAAGGGTACTATATAAATGCAAGTTGTTGTTGTAACATCAGAGATTTGTAAATAAACATGTGGCAAATTTTGGAATGACAACAACTGGATCTTTATTTACCCTTAAATTGCAAAACATTGTGCACTGAGGAGCTATGGGGCATGAGCTCATTCACTTCAGTAAGTGATTTTGGAGCAATGGGATGAAGGTTATTAGCCCTGAAACTTCAAAGAATAAGGGTCAGAGTACTTTAGATTTTTTTTAAAAAGGTGGGGAGAAAGTTCAAGGATTTAATTAAATATTAACTATGTGTAAGTTGCTACATCTTGAAATACAGAAGTGACGAATGACACTTTCATAAGCCTGCTAGACTTTTGACTAATAAACGACTAATATGATGATGCAAACCAGCGATGGCTTTCATTTGTTTTAATGCGAGCTCTAAATAATTTTACCACAACATTATATGTGTTTCTCTGTCACAGTAGTGAATTTGAACCAGTAATAACCCATCACATGCATTTTGTGTTACCCTTCTGTATTCTGAGCGATGTTCTATACAGTTGTAAAATCCAGATAACAATTAACAATAGAACTAGTTTAGTGTATTTTTTTGTAATTTAGCACAATTAAATCATTTCTAAAGCATGTAACACGGTAGCTATTATCTACATGTGTGTAACTGGAATGTGAAAGTAAGATTTACATGTGTGTAATAATATAACCCATCAAATGTATTATTTCTATATTTACTCTGAGATTTTATATTTTAGAAGGTGCTACAGAAAATATCTAACCAGCCTCTGATTGAAGGTTAATGGCATGCTTTGGGCAAAGGAAGTCGGTATAAAATAATTGCTGCACTACAGTCTTAGGAAGTATTTTTTCTATTTTGGCCTATGTGCATTAATTTAGATAACATTGTGATAAGTTTCCTGACTGCAGTTTGTATCAGATTGTTGGTACAAATATAACACTTAACATTTTTGAGAACCCCATTGGACAATTACCTTATGAAAATTGATATTAAAATGTTACACTGCTGAAAGTACAGGGATATGGGTAAGAAAACAAGTGTTGGGCAGAACACTGTTGTATTTTTCCCAATATGGAACTTGGGAACCATATGGAAACATAAACCAGTATGTTTCCAACTTCCAAAACGACTGTTCATGAGGCAAGGGAGGGGGCGAGGCTGAGGAACTGCAGGATGGAGTTCTAGAGGGTGGGGGCAGAGTGCCAGAAAGTAGCAGAAAGCCCGCCCGCCAATGGTGGGGTGGGTGAGGCGGAGGATGTGAAGCAGGCCGGAGCCCGCTGAGCGGACGGAGCGGGCAGAATGGTAGGGGGTTAGGAGGTCGCAGAGGTAGGGGGGAGCAAGTCCATGGAGGGCTTTGAAGGTGAGGACCAGGATCTTGAACTGTATCCTGTTTGTGATGGGAAGCCAGTGGAGTCGGGCAAAGATGGGGGTGATAGGGTTCACGGAGTCTGGTGTGGGAGAGGGCACGGGCTACAGAGTTCTGGATGATCTGCAGCCTATGGAGCGAGGAGTTGAGGAGACCGACAAGCAGGGAGTTTGCATAGTCAAGTCTGGATGTTATGAATGCATGTATGAGAGTTTTGGCGGCCTGTGGTGTGAGATAGTGGCGGAGCTCAGAGATGTTGCAGACGTGGGGGAAGGTAGAGCGTGTTATGGCACGGATGTGGGCTAAAAGGATAGTTGAAGGTCAAACAGGGTTCTGGACTGCCTTAGTGATGCAGTCAGTTTATACATCTACTAAAGCGGAGGCAAAATACAAGAATCGATTAAATTATTCTGAAGCAAATGTAGAATGTATTGTAGAAATTATAGGAGTAATTAATTGTATCGCACAAGAAGTATATTGTCTTGTTCATGCCATTATAGTAATTATTTGTAGCTGCACAGGTGTTAAATTATAATAATAATACTTGCATTTGATATAGCACCTTATCATGTTTTTGAGACATTTCAAAGCACTTCATGTGAAAAACTGTATTGACTGTGTATTTTCTGGGTGAAATGCGGCAGTCAGTTGTGCACAATAATGCCGACAAACAGCCTTGGAGTGAGTAACCAATTTTATTTGGGCGATTGTTGACCAGGACATTGAGAACTCTGCAGCCCATGTCCTCTCCTGCACCAGGCTCCGTGATCCTATCACCCCCATCCTCACCCGACTCCACTGGAAGAGGATATAGTTCAAGATCCTGGTCCTCACCTTCAAAGCCCTCCATAGTCTTGCTCCCACCTACCTCTGCGACCTCCTAACCCCCTACCATCCTGCCCACTCCCTCTGCTCAACTGGCTCCGACTCATTTCACACTCTCCATCTCGCTCGCCCCACTATTCGCAGGTGGGCCTTCTG